ATTTCTATTTTCTTAAAAAATGCCACATTGCATTTTCGCTGGGCAGTAATGTTACGTCAATACTTATAAGTGGTTGATATAGTGAATTATTTATTTTCCATTCAAATTTATTTTCGCGCTATAAAGGCACTAAACGGCGCACGCCCCCGCCTGATAGTCAATCGTCAGGCCTCGGACGTTACCGATAAAAAAAAGGTACCAAGAAGTACCGGTATTCATTAGAATTTGAAGACTGATAAGATCCATTGCTGCAAGACAAGGTTCCTCTGATAATTATTACCGCTAACCTAACTCAAGTGACAATTTTGGGAACATCTAAGTGCGCGACTTGTGCATTAAGTGAAACCAAGGCGATAGGCAGACTCATTCCAGAAAGGGCCCTTTCATCACCTGGTAAGACCACCTGACCACCGGAGAGGCCTATTGGGTAAGTCCGTTTAGTGCCCCGCTTTAACCAAATTATACAGTCCATTTTCAACACCACTTAAGGGTTATCGATCGCAGACATTCACTAACGGTAATAATCGATCGAAAGTTCAATGAAACAGGTTAATAGTGATAAGTTGACATTTTCATGAACACAAATATTCCTGTGGCTTTCAACTTGTTTTCTTGTCCCAAATAGTATGCAAGTTTTTTCTTGCCACTATCGAATATTCATCTAGGGTATGTGCCTATTTATTTTCGTGTGCGTACCTTACAGGCTATATGGAGAAAAGGAAGTTGTAAATTATCATTAGAGATCTGAAAAGCTCAGGATTCATTTATGTTAGACAATATGGATTTTGCTATCAAATATCAACTGGAGATGTAGTTTCCTACGTCATCCATATACATATATGGCAAGCAAAGCTTCATCGAAGATCATGAGAAATCTATTGCTTTGACGTTGGATAAATCTAACACATTTGACCTCTTTTGACAACAGCGATTTATCCACAAACTACTATTATACGGCCACCACCTCAGCTATGCCAGATCTCATCGAGTTTACTTTCAGGTAAAATGATCTATGTGGTGGTGGGCCATAACCATCAATTCCGGCGTTCTTCAAGAATTTATTTTTGCTCCAACATTGTTCCTACTTCATATCAATGATCTGTTGAAAGTATATAACCATTGCATTAGATAATAACGAATATACCACAGAATACAACAATACCCTAAACGAATTCAGATACACTTCTGCAATAAACAACGCAACAAGAATTCAAACTGGACGCAGTTCTTGCATCGATCATACATTTGTAAATTCCAAACCTAACGTACTGGATCAAATAATGCCACTGATATTACAAACTGATATTACAGATCATTTCTCCACCATCTTACAGCTTGTAATTGAGAAAGTCGAGAACACTAAAGAACAGAAACATGCGAAATATATCGATCATATTGAACTCAAAAATTTACTCAGGAACCAAGCTGGGGATTCAGTATATACTGAACCAGATCCAAACTCAGCGACAGACAAGTTTATTGAAACACTTCACGAATACATGCACAACTCCACCTTCATAAAAATCATCAAAAGAAAAAACACAAAAATCACTCCCTGGATGACAAATGCTTTACTTAAATCAACGAATACAAAAAACAACATGGCAAAATTAATGAGAAAAAACCCAAACGACAACAACATGAGAAACCAGTATAAAAAATATGGGAATAAATTGACAACCCTTATTGAGAAAACTAAATTTGAATATTATAAAAATAAAATCGAAACCAGTAAATCGAACGCAAAAACTCTATGGGATGTTGTACAAGAAGTGAGTTACACAAAAAAAACGAAGATTAAAGTAAACGAAATCAAAACTGAATTAGGGGTAACGTTGACAAACGATAAAGAGATTGCGAACGAATTCAATGTAACTTTCAATGACACTGGAAAAAAACTTGCAGAAAAAATAAATCGTGATCCAAACTTTAAAACCAGTAGATCGTCCCTTCCAAATTCGCTCATACTCTTACCAACAAACCCTCATGAACTAAAAAGCCTTATTGATGAATTGAAAACCCATAAAGCTGTAGGGCCAGATGAAATTAAAGCGGAAACCCTGAAAATCGTCACGCCATACATAATCGAGCCACTCACTTATATCTTCAACAAGTGTATGGAAACTGGCATCTGGCCCAACGTTTTCAAAGATTCTATCATTGTACCTATATATAAGAAGGGCGACAGAAAACTAGCAGATAACTATAGGCCTATATCTCTCATCTCCCACTTATCAAAAATTCTTGAAAAGGTGTTGAAAATCAGACTACAAGATTTTATAAAAAAATATAATATAATTTCTGAACGACAGTATGGATTCAAGCAAAACACTTCCACACAAGATGCCATCCTCTCTTTGACAGAAAAAATTCACGACTCTTTAAATGAAAACAAACCATGCATGTGCGTATTCATTGATCTTTCGAAAGCCTTCGACACCGTAAGCCATGAATTACTCTTCCAGTCTTTAGAGGATATAGGTATCAGAGATACTTCATTAGATTTATTCAAAAGCTACATCACGAATAGACGTCAAACTGTTAAAATAAACGATATTATTAGTGAAGCCTTACCTGTTGAATACGAGGTGCCCCAGGGTACGGTCCTTGGACCACTACTCTTCAACATTTATTTGAATGGTTTATTTTCTGTGAAGGGTAAAGGGGACATTGTTGGATTTGCCGATGATACCGCAATCTTTTACAAAGCTGATTCATGTGAAGAAGTGAAAAGAATCGTACAAACGGATTTTATTCTGATTAAGAAATGGCTTGAAAACAGATGATTAACAATAAATTTTCAGAAAACGAACTATTTACCCTTTAGCTGCAATAAAACCAATCTTCCCCTCTTCACCGATATTCAAATATCTGACGGAGGAACTGACCTAATAATAGCAACTAAAAATAATGTTAAATATCTGGGAGTCATGATAGACTGCCACATGAAATGGGACATACACATAAAATACATCATTAAGAAGTTACAATTTATTCTCTATGAATTGAAATATTTGAAAAAAATTCTATCTACACAACAACTATTAACATTGTATCTTGCGCTCGTCGAAAGTCATCTTCGATATGGCATACTTGCATGGGGCGGCGCCTTGAAATCGCACCTCAAACCCCTCGAAATTCTACAACGAAGATTTCTCAAAATTATTTTGGGAAAGTCATCCAGATATCCTTCTGACCTTCTTTTTACAGAAGCAGAAGTAATTAATATAAAACAACTTTATTACTACCATGTGACCATACGGTACCATACTATTAAAAACTCCGGAGACTTACCAACACATATGTACAACACCAGACAAAAAATTAATTATATCATTCCACAAATCACAAAATCACTCGGAATGACTAGTTTCTCATTTAATGCTCCGAAAATGTACAATTCATTCCCTGAAACAATCCGAAATATACCTAGCTTATTCAATTTTAAAAAACAACTGAAATTATTCACGAGAGAAACTCAAAAATTCCTGTAAAAGAATTATGAACCACACTTCATTTCATTCTTACGAGGGTGTATATGCGTATGTTTGTTCTGTGTATTAAACAATAATTTACCACGTGATGTCTTTAATTCATTTCATTTATATACTTGATGTATATCGAAACAAGTGTTTAATCACTTATCGATTGTTCTTGTCTGCTGTAGATATAACGTATTTTATTTATTAGAATTACATTTATTAGTACTATTTTATTTCCCAACATTGTCGAACCCTTTTTTTGGTATTTTGTTTGTTCTTTTTATCGCTTTTACACTTTGTATATATGTATCTCATATTCCATTACCTCTATGTTTACTTATAAATTCTGAAAGTTGTATATTTTTTAATAACATTTTAAATCTCTCTATGTTTAATAGAATCATAAAATATCCTTTTTCCTCGAAACAAGGGTGAATACGCTTATCGAGTATGATCATTTATTCTATTTATGCTATTGTAATAAGATTATTTTCTTTCATGTAGCAATAAATGATATTATTATTATTATTATTATTGCCCTATCCACAGCTTTGTAGAATTTCAATCTCTCGTCAGGAAGCTACGAACTCACGACGAAGGCAGTCAATGAAGATTACAGCCTGGGGTACCAACAACATAGTTCAATCCACCGCCACGAAGTGTCAAGCCTATAGTGTCCTTAGAAAAGCGAAACTCAGTATGCCTGATATTTCAATGTCTGGTATCACCATTGTCTCGAACTCTAGTATAATGTGATCAAGATTTCCATCAGCAGCACCCTTTCATGGCAAAATAATTTCAGGTCGATCGTGAAAGCTACTTCGCAGATACTCGGGTTTTCATTCCGTGCGGTAGTCTTTTTTATATCTCAACAGCTTCTCATGATCTACAAAGCATAGTTACGACCTGTTTCAGAATACTGTTTCCATATATGGGTTCCGGAACCCACACATACGCTGATGCTCTTGGATTCGATCGTGAGAAGATCCATTCGCCCTTGAGTGATGCCATACTCACTAATTCTTTGACATCATTGGAACACCGTATGAAAGTAGGCGATCACCTTTCATCTTATATATACTTCTACGGGATATGTTTTTCAAAAAAATTTCTGCTATCATTCCATCACAAGCAATACCAGTCAGACGAACTCGACAAGTCCAGTCAGCACATCGTTTCGTCGTCAACCTCAAGGTATGTCAAACAACTCCTAACCAAAACTCGTTTCTTCATAGAACAACAAAGCTTAGGAAGCCTTCCCCAAAGGGAGTGTATCACCAAACTTTCAATACCTACCTCCGCTCCCTATCATTATTGCCTAGAGGAATTCTCTTTCGTGCGCCCCATGAGATGATAAAAAAAAATAATTGCTAGAGATCTTCAGGAGTTTTCTATACACAGGCATTTCACTCATCGACGTTACAAGAGCAGAATCTGATAACAATCAACTACTTGAACACCCTTATTACCTCCAGGGAAGAAATAACTAAAGTTATATAGTTATCTCATATAACTTACACTTCATCAGCAATAGCTTGCATCTGTTGAATATCATTGGCTATTCCGAATATTTCTGGCACCAGATGTCTAATGGTGTAGTACATATCAAGTTTCTGTTTTGTGTTCTCTATGCTGAATTTATTGGTAAGTAATACATTCGTTATGTGATTATCACCTGTAACAAAAAATAATCCGCGGTAATCTTCAGCCTGCTCGGTTTATGAAATATATGTTATCATCACACGCCAGATAATATTTCAAGATCAACATTAATTTCGTGACCACAAAATATGTATATGTGCATGACTATTGAATTTTATCAAGAAAAGTTGTTTGTGTTTACTGAGTTCATCTGAGAATTGATTAAATGAACCATTCAATAATTATGAATAATAATTAAAAAAAACAGCTAACATCAGAAGCCTCAACTACGATGTGAGTATTATGATTTCCTACATGGTGGAGACTTCAACTGGAATGAACTCGCTACTAGAGGAGTGAATAATTTTTCTGAAAATTCGCGAGACATGTCAATGTTTGAATGTATTTACCTACATTTGGCAAGCAATATGGAGAATATAACCCAACAGGAGTAGCTGGCTTACGATTCCTCATTGGAAAGCTGGTTGAAAGAGGAATCCAGGGAATGATCATATTCCAGTTCGCAGTAGTAGTAAAAGTAGTATCGTGGGGAGGCTGTAGCCAAGCAAGTAGGCCCCCATCGGCCCTATTTGCCAACCCCTGCTCTCCACATATCTACACATCCCTCTGTTAGTTGTCCTTTTCGAACCTTCCCGTCCTTCTGATGAAGGTTAGGATGCCAGTCCACTTTATTTCGACCAAATCTTCCTGTTGTAGTTTATCTACTCCGAAAATTTCTGATATCATCATTCCATACGCCTCACATTCTCCGAGGAAGTGAAGTGATGTCTCCTCATCTTCTCCGCATTCACGGCAACTGGGACTATCTTCCACACCCATGAGTGATAGGTGTCTGCGTAACCTGTTTTGCCCTGTCAGTACACCTATAAAAAGGCGCAGGACTTGGCGATTCCTGCCCAGTAACCCAGCCGTCTTTGGCTTGCTTGAACCGGCCACCATCAGGTCTCTCGATTGCCTGCAGCCGCCTATACGCCTCCAATATCCTTCTAGTGCCCCGTATGCCCATTTGTTAGAAGGGCAGACGAAGTTCGGCTTCTTGTTATGTCCAGTGCAGGCTCCGGTCCTCAGAACGGTGTCGCGGATCCGATTCTAGCCAGCTCGTCGGCCACCTCATTCCCGGGCACCCCCCTGTGACCCGAAACCCATACTAGTTCGACTTCATTCTGTTCAGCTAGTTTCTCAAGAGCTTCGCCACAATCCTGCATCAAAGCTGAGCTTGGTTTAGGATGGCAGATAGCCCTGAGAGCCGCCTGACTATCCGAGGAGATGTAAATCTTCTGTTCTGGTCCCTCTTTCACCGCTTGCCTCTCCGCTACTGCCAGAATGGCAAAGAGCTCAGCCTGGAAAACTGTGGTATACTTTCCAAGAGTGTAGCTCTCCCTTATGCCTATTTCAGTTTGCAGTACTTTCAAGGGTCGCAAATAATCAGAATACTATTTCGAAATTCAATATATTCCCAACGTATTTCCATAAAAAATCCGACTCTTAGTGACAGTGATATAGGGATCTGACCAGTTTGCAATAACACTCCGTTTCAAACTGTGAATACGGCAAATGAATCAATTTTTTTTCTTGCGGCTCTGGAATACAAAATGCAGATAGCAATAGTGCCAAAAATTTGCAACCAATTGTTTCACACATTTTGAGCGATTGATTCGTATAGAGAAAAACTGAATTCTGAAATAAAATTTCAATTTTATGCAACCTTTGAAAGTTTGCAATTTGACTAGTACGCTTGATTCTTCTTAACACCAGCATTCAGGGTGGTTTCAGCTAACCCTGCAGGTAAATATTCCCGATATTGCTTGCAGAAGTTTGATGAATACGTTCAATCGTTGACGAATGTCAGGAAGAAGATTCACCTTCCCGCTGACGGATTTATTCCAGTTGAAGTCTCCACACTGTCTATCTTTTGAAGCAGCTCAACTAAAACATTTCTTCTCTTGCTTCTTCAGATGGTAATTGGGAGTTTGTTCATTCCAAGATCCAAACAACGGAACATTTGTATAAACAAGGTGTCCAAGAAATAAAACAAAAGTTTATAGCATCATGTGTACAGAAATTCTTCTGGTGAGGGCGCAAAAGTACTCTGATGATAAGATAATCTTAGTGACAATTGATCCGTGATGAAGATTGGTGGAATTCAACAAACTAATTTACTATGGGAATTTCTCCAGGCATTAAAATGAAAAATTGCACTTTCCTCGAAATCGTTGAAGTTAGTAGCATTCCAACAAATAGTATACTTTCCGAATTCGAAACTGTCTGGAGAATCGTATAATATTAATGAAAAAAACGATAAATGAGGAACAAAAATATTGTGGCATTTATAGAATCTGAAATAAATCCTGAGATATTATCATCCTCATGCACCGAATCTCTTGATACCAGGATGAATAGTATAACAAATGTAATCGAATAAAACTGTCTTCGCAGGGACATATCCCAGCGAACATTGATATATGGGCTATTATTTTTGAAGCAATGTGACCCCAGATCAGTATTAGCATTTTTGAATATTAAATCATAAAAATTACCCAATGGCTGACTCAACACCAATATTAGCGAAACAGACCTCCAATTCATTGCATCTCTTATTCATGATGCTTCCGCGATTGAAGCAAAATGAATTGGTAAATAAGAGACGAATGAAAATTTTTTATCGAAGTACATATTTGTAATAACAATATTGAATAGGATATCAAATTCAGAGATTCTTCTCAGATCTTTGTGAATCATTGCTGAACCAAGCATTTGTTTTCGGCAAGGTCATAACCACCGAGAGTACCGATACCGTTCTCAATAGTTCTGAACGTTCAATAAAATCAAATTCGAAGGAACAATTGGATATAATGTCCATAACGAATAGTTGTATTCAAACATCAATGTCGCTCACTATTCCTCACCCTGTTAATCGACACAATTTTAAAACCACCCAGGAAATTAATATTGGTATATTTCAATGAATATGGGCAAATGCGCTATGACCTGATTATATAATATATTGTGTCTCATTTCCTTATGCTTCTCCAGGAGTCTCTTCTCTACAGCAGCTTCCATAGCTTCAATTTCATGAGATATCTCAAGATTCTGAGAAAATATTGATTTGTGGTATTTCTTCCACGATACGATGTCAAAGTTCTCAGTTTTTTATGCTGGAATTTCAGCCTTTCGAAGTCTTGGAACTCCTGGCGGAATCAGTACTAGAAAGGCTGCTATTAAAGAGAAATCATTCATCCCCAATAGGCGAGTAGGCTATCCTTCTGTATTCCTCAAATAAAGTTCTTGAAGAATCAAGTGGACCACTGGAATTTTCGCCATGTGCCAATGTGCCATAATTTTTCGAAAAATGAATGGATTCTCAATCCGGAAGCAGTAAATCAGTAAATGAAAGCAGCATTCTTCCCCTTCAAATAAATTGAATGTTCAGAACAAAACGGAGTTCTCGAGTCATGACACACCAAGTGTTTGAAAGAAGAGTCACAGAAATGAAGGAGTTTGAGTTCTTCCGTATTTCATAAGAGCGTGGGACTATATCTCGAAATGGTTTTGATATTTCCGATATTTCTCATACCCACAATAATAAAATTCGATTTTTTCCGATTTTCTGGATCGTATCGAATCATTGCGGATTCAAGATTTCCGTATAAAATATCCAAACCAGTTCGCCTCGTCATACCATTGAACACGTCCTATAGGATATGAATTCATATTGCTGCCAAATCAGGAAAAACTTCGACCAGGAAGACAATATCCTTTGTTCGGAAACATGTTCAGAGTTTGGTGAAATCGCCTGTTCTGTTCGATGCTGCCATAACCAAATGCTATTGAAAACAAGAATTCCTCATGTGGATAAACTGACCTGGTCAATATCACCACTGAATCATTCTGTGATACAGTGATTTTCAGAGTTTTATATGAGCTCACATGACATCAAGAAACCTCTCATTTATGATTTTTTTCGTCACATAATCGGTAATGCCTCAAAAATTTCGTTTTTATGTTATCAACACATATCCATGCGAATGATACCATTGCAACACCCAACATTACAACTTCTTCGACAACTGTCATTCTTTCTTCAGAATATTACTTTTATCATCACTGTACTTAACAATCATACCGCGATTGTCACAAAATGAGCTCGAAAATGCTCTCAGACTCATTAAAAACATTTCATACTTTTGGACGTCGGCTCTTTTTGATAAACTATGCATTTTCAATGAGTCTGAGAGCATTTTTGAGCTCATATTGTGGGAGAGTAATGACAATTGTCAAAGGTTTGTCAGATCCCTCATGATGAAATTTTATATTGGGTGTGGCAATGGTATCATTTGTATAAAACAAAATTTTTGACGCATTTCCGTTTATCTGATGAACAAACTAATAAGAGAGAAGATTCTTGATATCATGCTTGCTTATGAAAGTCTGAAAATCATTGAATATCTGTTATCCTTCGTATAGATCGAGATAATCCTCTCGAGATATTTACCAATGCAGCTGATCCAAATGAGGAAACCTCATTCTTGGTAGCATTTGGTTATGGCAGCATCGAAAAGCTCACATTTTAATTTGTTTGTAACGTATTCAACCTTAATGTCGTTAGTGTCAAACTGAACCAAAGATATTTTTATGGACAAATTTCCCTGTTAACCTGACGATTACGCACTGATGATGATTTAACAGTCGAAAGCGGTCTGCTACGAATATTTTGAATAAATTACCTTGCACGAGATACAGATCTCCCCTTCTTTGGTCGAATAGAAGGAGAAATTCCACCAAGCAGAACATTTCTCTTCAAAGAATTTTTCATCCAAGAAACAGCGAGGTCCTGGATCCCATTTCCAAGGAAGGTGTTCCTCGAGGCATATAACCTTCAGAAATTCAAGAAGAACATCAATTCCTACCTTATTCTCCTTGGTCCTCACTATGTTCTCTGAACATTAAAGAATATCCCTTTCCGTGAGAACCAGAACATAAAGAAAAACATCTCTCTAGGAAAAAAAAGTTGTTTTCCTGTCGAAGTTGTTTCTGATTTCGAAGCAATATGAATTCATTACCTGGAATATGTTGGATGGTATGAGTAGGCAAAATGGTTTGGAGTTTGAACATGAAATATTTGAATTCGCAGTGATGCGATGAAATCCAGAAAATCCAAGAAATTCGAATTCTATCAATCTGCATAAGGAATATTGGAAGTTTCGGAACCGTCGCGAGATATCATCCCAGGCTTCAGAAACTAGGATATGTGGAGAATAAAAAAAAAATTCTGTGGAATACGGGAGCACTCAAACTTTTTCATTTCGGTTACACTTCTTCTGAACAGTTGGTGTGTTTTGACTGGGGGATTTCAATGAGTTTCTAACAGAGAATTTTGAAAAGGTGAAACGCAGCTTTCACGCACTGCTTTCCGTTTGAGAATTAATTCATTTGAAAAAAAATATATGGCAAATTCAGATTCCGCGAAAATTCAAATAATCTATACTGAATTCTTCAAGCACTATAGGATAGGAATAAAACTGACGTTACGATTTCGTAAGCAGAGGCGGACCAACGCACACTTGTTATATGTTGAAATACGGATAGGAATTTCGAAAACATTATTCATTTGATAATCCATAAACTCTCGATGAAGTATTGGTTATATTCCTACTTATCCATGAGAAATTCATTGTCTTCTATATTTCTTTACACGAGAGGAGATTGAATCTGGTGAACGTGACAACACAGGATGGTGAGCGTTGTTTTATATGTTCTCAGCGTTGAGCACAGCATTGCCTATTCTCTGACATATACCTAGTATTGGTGTATGGAGTATATGGAATATTTAACCAAGCTGGTGGCTCAAGACAGTCACAAATTGATAACTATAATGTCATGACTTCCTTCTGTTGGATCAAATGATATAATCAATTTCTTTCAACGACAGAGGGCTCTAACAACTTTTCAATAATTTGATTATAATTGGTGACTTGACGACCTTGTCGCATGAGTGGGAATGGAAGATTATCTGACCAATAATAGAACAGCATGAATTAGGCCAAATGGCGGGTGTGACGGCACGTTTGAAATTACGCTCGAATTCAACAACTTCAAATAATGCAGAAATATTATTTATATCACAATCGCATGAGATTTTTGAAATAATCAATTCAGGCCTCTATCGATACAGTAAAGTGATTCAATGGATATCATTCACTACCAGAACACTCGCCTATTTTCTGATGAGTGTTTCTGAATTTCAAGCGATAAATACAATAGAGTGTTGAATGAGAGATCGCCGCTAGCAAATGCTTGAATTGCACTGGTTATTCACAGATATTCCAAAAAACCCTATTCAGATTATATACAAGACATTCCACAATTGGGAAGATGAGTAATCTAATCTTGGCATATACATATATCATAGATGAAAAACCCGAAGTCATCTCCACAACTTTTATTGAAATGATCAAAGATCATCAATGGTACATGTTTCGGGCTTATATAAGCCCATCATCAGCCGATAAAATAGTTCAGAGTAATGGAAGTGAAAAAAGTTGAAATTCAAATAACGTGGACAATAACAGAGCAAACAGAGGCAACTGCTCCATGATTGGTAATGTAAAATTGTGTTTTTGTAAAAAATCATAAAAATTTTATAATTCTCATGAAATGGTCATTCAACTGTCGGGTTCATATTTTATAAGGGCCCACGTACCCTTAAATCACCGAAAAGTGGCGATTACCCAAGAAAATATCAATCTAATTAAAAGTATGATGTGGCTTCGGAAATAAAACCAGTAAAAGTTATGGAGATGACTTTGGGTTTTTCATCCATGAACTATACCACTCCACTTTGAGTTACCATGGACTTCTTCCAAAGAATATACATATATATTTGAACTAATTCGATACAGGAATACAGAAATATTACTCGATGATTTTGTATCCAATACTGAGGTAATTTTTTTGATAAGGGTATAATTTGTCATAGAAACTCCGGAAATCTGGTGATGCAAATGTGAATATTTTCTTTCGTTGATTTGAATTTTTCTTCGAGTATACTCGATTTTCAAATCAATCAATCATCATCAGTGATCACTTACTACTTATCTCGGGTAGATGTGGTTGAGTCTTTAACCAGTCTTTGATTACATTGATGTCATCTTTCAGATGTTCTTCTGTCTTATCGAATTCTTTCAGCGCTTTTTTCAATATTTCATGCGTGCTCTCAGGGAACCAAGTCCCCATGATCGTTTTATGTATCTGAAAACAAAATTCACTTGATGAAGAGATAAATAGTACAGTCTTCTTCAGAAACTATTGAAACACCTCTTTTCAATATAGGTAAAAACATAATATTTCAGAGCTAACCCAACTCATTTTGCAGTGTTATGTCTATGCTAGCATCGTGGTCACCTTCTATTCAAGACATGGCGTATGATATTGATGTGATCATTTGTTCGATGGTTCCTCCAGGTAGCATATTCACAGATGCGCGCGTGTTTTGACAAGAGAGTGTTGAAATGAGTGATGAATTTCTTTACTGATGTTGAAATTAGTGTTGAATTTCGCAAACGCGCGTATACATAGGTAGTGACGGCATCTAACAAGTTCATGATAAATTGAAGTTTCATAGTGTAACATAACAAACAAGTGGCTTAGGAAAAAAATAAATCGATAGTTCACGTCATGACTACTATAAACATTTTCAGTCAATTGAAAAATCAAATAAAGATGCTCCATACTCTTCACGTGACGTTACCATTTGGTGATGAATTGCCGCTCGACAAAGCCGCAGTTTAGTGCTCTTATTTTGGAGAGCAGCCTATAAAGGAACTCACAAGAATTCTGGATGTTAATAGCGGTTCAGATATCATACTTGACTTCTTTCCCGCTCATAATCCAGCTCTTTACACCATTGATGTACGAGCTCCACATAATTCAGCACCTCACACCATAGATGTACGAGCTCCACTTGGCAAATCTGACCAGACACTCATCTCAACAACCTGCTCATTTTTTTATTCAATCAACTGCTTCGGCACCCCAACGGCTTGTATGGCAATACAATTCAACGTCGCGAAAACTCAACCCATTTTTTTTTGCTAGAAAGGCGAAACTCAGTATGCCTGATGTAACAGCTGCCTGGTGAGGAGTATGGAGAAATTCAGAAAGGTCAATTGTCAGTTATGAAGAACTAACGACTGTACTATGCGACTGCGAGGCAACAATCGATTCAAGACCTCCAACCTATATTTCAGATGATGACGATATGATACCTTTGACCCCATTATATCTCATACAAAGCATTTCCAGTAATGGAGTACATGATTTGGACTCTATTGAAAGAAATCATCTGCTGAAGAGACATATATATCTACAAAGAATGAGAGAAAATTTCAGAGTTCGTATCAGGAAGGAGTACCTAGCAACCTGGTGAATTCAGGAACCAATAACGTGACGAATATTCGGGCGGGTGACATTGTTCTTCTAGGAGTAAACCACATGAAAAAAATTTCCTGGCCTTTAGCGAAGATCATGGAACTATACCCTGGAAAGGAAAACATTTCTAGAGTAGCCAGAGTAAAAGTAGGAGGAAAGAAAAAGTTAATTAGACCATTACAGAGATTATTTCTACTCGAAGTATCGTCACATTAAGTTGGAGAAAATCAATTGCGGAAAGCAGATACCGGCGACGAGGAGAATATGGAGGAGAAGAAAGCGAATACCGAAGAGAAGAATATGGACTAGAAGAAGACCAATGACAGAGGGGAGAAACAAACCCAAAAGAGAAGACATCTTGGAACTATTAATGAGGATGAAGAGATAGTAGAGATTCCTACTGTCACGACAAGGCATGAAAATACAGTGAAGACCCCGGAACGTTTCAAATTTTGATATAAAGTGGAAGAATGTTGGATCTGGAGCTGATCACTTTGTATATCATGTCGTTGTCGAGAGTTTTTTTTTATTGATACAATTGAATTTTAATATAGGATTCTTTATATTGTCAATCAAGTTTTGGTAATATATCTTTAAAAGCTACAAAACACCTTATCGCGCTCTTTCTCGTATCAACATTCATTTGCTACAAACAACATTCCCACCAAGTCAACTTTAGTATGATATAATCATGTCAGATCTATATCACGGAAGCTCCTTTTCTTATACTTGGACTATTATTCCGAAACGCTGCTTCACACCTAAACAGCTTCTCATGATTTATAATGCACAGAAACGATCTGATCCAGAATACTGTTCTCACTTATGAGGTTTAGCACCCAAATATACTCTGATGCTCTTAGATTCCATTCAGAAAGAAGCCATTCGCCTGTTGGGTGATGCCACACTCACTAACACTTTGGCAGCATTGGAACATCGTAGGAAGGTCGGTAACCTTCAATTTTTCTATAGATACTTCCACGAGTAATGTTCTTCAAAAATCTCTGCTATCATTTCACGACTAGCAATACCAGCCAGACAAACTTGACAAGCGCAGTTAGAACATCCATCCGTTGGAAACCTCGAAATATGTCGAACAGCACTATATCAAAACTCGTTCTTCTATAGAATAGGAAAGATCTTGAGTTCATTGCCTAAGGAAGTATTTTCAAGAACTTATAATGTCCAGAAATTCGAAAACCACCTATCTCCTTACCCTATATCCTCCCTTATAAGTACCCACGATGTTCTCCAAGAATTATAGGGATATCGTTTCGTGCGCACCAAGCGATGAAAATATATCGTATGAACCGTACGTCAAAGCAAAGAAGTTGATCAATTCAAAGTTGTCTACAAAATTATATCTGTATATTTTTTGCCTAATATTTTATGATTATCGAGGTATTCGCTAGCGAATTGAGTAGGTAAATTATATTTTTCTGAACTAAACATTTTTCGAGAAAAATGCGAACGTCCTCATCTCGAATTCGAGGTGATTCCCAACCTATCTTGGCTCGAATATTATTCTACGGAAATGTGGGTGGTTCCATGGCTGTTGACGTGCAGTGTATATCACTGAAGATGCCTCCACTAGGTCATAGTGTGTATCTTAGGTATATCTCATGCTCCTGCAAAATTTAAAAATCCAAACTCAACAATTACGAATGATACATCAGGGGTGCTTCATTAAACAACTTCAGACGAACATGTCAACAGACTAGAAAACGTTTTTCAAAGACTATCGGAATATAATTTGCAACTTCAACCCGATAAAAGAAGGTTCGCGCGAAAAAAATTGATAACAGATCATGGAAGTAAACCTAATCCCGAAAACATTGAATCAATAATAATATTTCCATAAGTACAGACCAACACTACTGATATCAAACAATCTTCAAGCATTTTGTACAAATTACGCGGAAATTCTCAAACCACTAACGAATCTTCTGAAAAAGGATATACGTTTTGAATTTGCTGAACGTTGTCATAAATGTTCCTATCAGTGCAAAAATATTCTCACAAATAATTCAATACTTTGGTGCCCGGATTCTGAAAAATAATTAATTCTGTCTACCGACTCGAATAATTACGCGATAGGATCCGTATTGAGCCGAGGTAACTAGGAAAAGATTTGCCAATTGTATACGCGAGTATCACATTCACCTGAAATATTTATATTCAATAACCAACCCAAGCAAATGATTAGCTAGATGGACACTACAATTAGGGTCATTTCCGCATGAAATAATCTCCAATCCCGGAAAACTAAACTTATAAATGCCGACGCAGGAACACGAATTCGACCTTCACACATAACAACAGACACTCTCGAAGATTTCAAAAATTTAATTAAAAATCAAAGCGTAATAAATCATACTTGAATAACACAACGTGACAGGATATTACTCCGCACGAAACAGCTATAAACATTATCAGTCTCATAACTCAAAAAACGATTGACGGAGGAAAAGAGCCGAAACGTCCAGTAGAACTTTTAGACATACCCGAAAACTGTAATATTACCTCATAATATTATCAAAATTGAATCAGACTCACAGCCAGAGAGACAATATATATTCGTCAAATTGAACGACTTCACATCGAAACAATTTTCCACCAAATTGAAAAATTTCATGAAAACCAGGAATTCCATCAGCAGAAATTCATCTAACGATTCTAACACTACATTTTATATACCTATGTCACGATACTTCAATTAATCTATCTGCTGATGAGAGACACACAAAATCATAAAGAAATATCATGAAAGTGGGATTTAATCTACACAGGGGTATCTACGAAACATATAAAAAACTCAGAATCCATTTTGAATGGCCCAACATGAAGAACGATGTCTGAATTTTGAAGCAGAAATGTTTAATTTGTCAAGGAAAAAAGATTTCATGACAACCGCCAAAGTACCCATTAGAAATAACTTACAATACCGAAAAACCTTTCGATAAAATCTATACATCGATTTATTTGAATCAGAAAAAACTAAAATTTCTACACTAAGAGACGACTTCGAAATTCGCGCAAGGATATTTTTCAAATGATGAAAAGTGTCAAGAAATCTACGAACAATTATCGAACAATTTCCAAAATTCAAAAGTTCTCAAGATAATCAAAGCCGACCCTGGTGAAGAATTGAATGCGAAAATTAGAGAGCTTTGCGGCCAATACGATGTCCACCTGAGATTCACCGCAATCGAGCATCCAAAATCAAACGAAATGATAAAGGTATTCCGCGCTACATTTGCCGATCCATTAAGATGTTTTCGTGAGACGGATAACATGCACAGGCAATTCACAATTAGCTCTCATCCACGAGATAATAAGTTACAATGATGCAAAATCTAACTCGACAAAATTCAGTCCACAAGAAATTATATTTGGCGACTCTCAGCTCAGTAAAATAACAAATTCATCTAGACCCGAAAGATATCGGATAGAACAAGATGAATTTAACGAATTCAAATCTGCAATTAATTATCAGAGAAAATAATCGATCATCCGAAAAAAAATCAAAAACTCACTACGGCAATAAAACACGGAAAGCATTTCCTGATTATACAGTAGATCAATTATTTTATTTACGAAAGAAATCAATTTCACCAAGAAGTCAACCTTTATGGTCGGGTCCTTATAAAAGTACAAAAATATTATGGAATAATACAGCTGTAATTCAGATCAGAATCAGTTTCCATAAATGTCACTTTGATAAGCTGAAACCATACCCAGAACAAATTGAAACTGACTCAGAATTCGATTCATATTGGTCAACATCTGATGATGAAACTCTTTTTCCAGGTCCATCATCA